TTAGGGACACGCATCGTTCTGGAGTCGTAGTTGGACTTAAGTTTGGCTGTTCCAAGAGTTCTGTGCTGTTGACTTATTTGGCCACTGGGTGCCACTATTGATGCACTTACGCATACCAAATTGTTAAGTCTCCTACATGATTTCCCTGTGGAAGTGCTATGCTGTAGCTTGTTATGGGAAGTGCATCTCCCCACTGCTGGAGCCAGGAATTGCTGGGACTTAGATAAGCAGCAACAAAACTTGAGCCAGGATAGCCTTAAGGGGGAGGCTCTGGACTTACTGAGCCTTGAAGAGCTTGTTGTGTACTGTTCCCCTTTCTTCTCCACATCATTGAAAGCTTTTTTTTCCACCTTTGTTTAATAGATCAGTCATTTCTCTCCCCCACACAAGAATAACGCCCATTTCTCCAATGGACTAAGGTGCCACTCTTTCCCTCCATACCGCCCCCCGGGTGGCTTCCTTAACCTCGATAGGACAATATTATGGGTGTGTTATTTTTGTTGGTTACAGCATGGGATTGGGAGGCAAAAGAACAGTTGTTACTACTTAGTCTGCTTGGTTTGTATTTTTGGACAAGTTGTAGCCTCTCTCAGCTTAAAATAAATCCTAAACAATAAAATGTATGTATGTATGTGATTTATATGCCGCCTTTTGCAACAAAGGCTTGTCCCCCTGTTCCCCGCCCTCCCAGATTTCCCATATCAAGCTGGACGTTCCCAGGATAACATTTATGTTTCTCCCCTTTGCTAAGCAGTCTGTTCATGTACATTATAGTGGCACTAATGTAAAAATGACCAGGTTTCTGTATTGATTTTGATTTGTGGGATTCGTGCATAGCCTAATAGGCCACAGGCATGTCAAAGCTAACTAGGAAAAGATGTTGAGTCATTCTGTGTCATGAAAATATGCTTCTTTTAAAGGCTTGAGTTTTTATCTACTGTGAACTTAGCTGAGCTACTATTTAACAAAGCTCTAAAAGACTGGGAGAGGAATAAATACATCTGAAAGGAGAAAAAACTAAGTCCCAACATGTTGATACAGCCATCCTATTTAAGAGTGCTCTAGGTAAGAATATTTCTGCATTAAGATTTGGGAATGAGCATTATGATTTGTCAAGTCATACATTTGTTGAATGAGAAATGGGGAGGTCATTTGCTGGATGAGAGATGGAGAGATCCAGTCCTGGATGATCTGTGGATTATAAAATACTGTAAGCATGTAACTAAACTAAACAAAAAACTATGTGCTCCTTAATAGGAAACCTACCCATAGCGTTCAGTGACAGTGGTTTCCTGTTGGTTCTTAATGTAAATCATGAAGTACAGAGATAATGTAAAATGCAGTTAGCCAGCTGGTCATAAATCCCTTTTTGTGTCTCTCTTAGTAACTTTGTGCTCAAAAGAAAAGTATCCATCCTGGATTAAAAAGGTCAACAGCTGATGTGGTTTACACACTTCTTAGAACCTACTACAAACATGAGAGGAAAAGTCTTCTTTTTATGCGGTACAAATATCTTGCTTTCTCAGTGACTGGATTCTGGACCCTTGTTAAACAGCAAAAATTATGGTTTAGTTGCATTGGATTCTAAATTAAACATGTGAATCCAAAGTTTAGTATTAAGGACAGAACTTTGTCCTTCCTTTATGCTCTGATACAGCAGACTCAGATACGAACTAATTCCAGTCCTTTCTGAGACAAAGGTCCCATTTATGTCAGTGGGTATGTTGCCTGCACAAGGATTATTGGATAATGTGTTGGTTTTTAAGACAGTGCTGCGTTGGGAGCCCTGTGCAACAACTGAACATTTTAGCTTCATTGCTTGAAGGGGGAAGGGCTTGAAAAGTAATTCAAAGGCAACTCTCTATGGTTGAACTTCCTTTTCTTTAAGGAAACTCAGCAAGTTTATACCATTCGTTGTTGCATTTCTTTAGAAAGGTGCTATGGACCTCTAAAGTAGCACAGAGAACAGTATGTATCTTGTGACACAGTGGTTGTCATGGTAAGTGCATTCTTTTTATTACTGAATTTAACAGAAGAATAGCCGCATTCAAACGATTCTTTCAAGGTTTCTCTCAGTCAGACAAGTGTGCAGGAGTGGTTTACCCTGTTTGGTTTATACTTGTGAAACTATTATTTTCTAGTTAAACTTTCACTCTTTGTGTAAAATTTAAACATTACTAATAGCCAAGTTAAAAGTTGCTAGGCATGGTAGGCAAATGGCTTAAATAGCTCAGCATTTCAAAAACCTGGAAATGATAGCTGGAAAACAGACCTAATTAACTCACTTTCTCACCCTCTCCTCCCCTTAAATCACAAATATATTTTAATACATTCATGTGATTTAGCCTCCTGGATAGCAGTTAACACAAGTTTAACTACTAACTTATTAATGCAAAAATGTTGATACCATCAGCATGTAAATGCCAAGGACTCTCTAACTGAAACAGCTGAGAGCTGTTTCTCAACATTTTAATTTGGCTGTATAATTGGTAAAGGGGCTCCTAGTTTTCCGTTCAAAAGTAGAGGTAATTTCATAGGATCCTCCTACAGAGACAATCTGTAATTGAAATAATTTATTATTACTGTCACCAACTGATAAGAGATCCCCATGCTGGTCACTCATTAAGTTGCTGTTAGGATTCACCCTGGATCTTAACATGCAGTGTTTGGGTACTACCCATCTCTGGCTGACTTCCCAGCTAACTCCCCACTTTTTCTGGTACCTTCTCAAAAGAGCAACCCCATGCTCTAGGTGCACAAACCAGGAAACTGACAACTAAGCATCCTTAGTGCACAGCCAGCCTCCCTCCCTCCCTCCCTGCTGCCAGAGGGTCTTTTATCATGTCTGTCAGAATTCCAAATGTCCCCCGCAGAGCCTTTAGGATCTCTGTCTGTCTCTGCAATCAGCTCACCTTGGTTTTTCAGGTCAGAAAAGTTCCCCTAGCTTAACAGAATTTCTTTTTATTCTCATGTGCTTCCTGGACTTTCTATTGTTCCAGTCTTCCTTCCTGCAGACAATCTGGGACAACCTGTTTCTTTTATTTGGCCAATCTCTTTAGCTTACTCATTGTTCTATCAAAGCAGATTGATTCCATGCTTCACAGTTCCTTTGATTGCCCTGTAGTGGCTGTGTATGACAAATGACATGGTTTCTGTCAGCTAATGGCTGGTTGAATATGTGTTCATAAAATCAACCACAATTTGTAAATTGTACAGAAAGATTCCCCAAAGTCTACAAATTACACCATTTATAAACCTTTTTAATGACTGCTGTTGCTTTCATATTGCTTCCAGTGCAGCCGTCTTACAGAGGAAGTAGCATGAAATGTATTGATAATGGCTTAGTCTAATGATAACTGCAATAGATTCTGTGTAAGAAAGAGAAATTGGCAATGTAACATTAAATGTAAGCATATCATATGTGGCACACTTGGCTTCACGATATATTTCTTAAGAGGATATATTTACACTGATGTACTGACTACAGTTGCATTTCCATTAATACAGCCAGTGGTAAGCTAGAAAGACAAGAAACTGTTGGGAAGCAAAAGAATATCAAATGCTTCCTCCTTTTACTCCTGGGTGTGGTCTATCTGACATCTTTTAGATCACATGTAAAAGAGGAATTTGTTTGCCTTTGCCTGAGAAGCAGTTTCAATAAAATGAGGTGTCTGGTTAGTCACCTCAGTTAAAAGGGACATCAGAAGGTTAAAATCACAAGTATTTACCTCCTCTGCCATAGATGCTATATTGCTTTATTAGAACATGAAATGTGTAACAGATGTAATATCACACACTACTTGGTAAACTATGCATTTTAACAAACAGCAAGACTTTCCTTATTTTCTTTTGCAAAGAAAAATGAGAGCTTCCAAGTTTTGAAAGTAGTGCTTCATTTTAATAGGAATCAAATCTAGCACTCTGATAGTGCGAAGGCATTATCCAATTACCAGTACCTGTGACACACAAAATAGGTACTAAGAAAAAGATCTGGAGACTAAATCTTTTCTTCCAAGAAAAGCAATTTTGGTAACCTAAAAGTAGTTTCATATCCTGAGAGACTAAGCATTTAAAAGTTGTGTAAAATGTTGGCTTACGGTTAAAATAAACTCAGTTGCATGCTATGGTCAAGCTTTCCAGCTGGCACAAGCCAGCATATACAAGTTTCATTTTACAGCACTGAATGAACTGGCCCTATGTGTAACTTTGTGGGCAATATCATTAGTTACTAAATGATCAGATCTGCTTCTTGTTTAAGATTCAGCAATGCTAGACCTGAGTCTTGGTCAACATGATCAGCACTCTCACCATTTCTTTTTTATACTCTGCCTCTCTGTGTTTATCCTGCTGGTGTCATCCTATTCTTTCGGCAACTCTTTTTAGAGAGGGGACAGTTTTCTGTTTGTACAGTTTGAAATGCAAACAGGGTTCTGGCTCATGCCTAGAGCTTCTATATACTAGAGTAATACCAGCCAAGGTAAATTGCCTATGTTGTGCCCTTATTAATAGAGTGGTCGGTCACCTACCTAATGCTGTATTCCATTTGCCTGTTTTTAATGTCAAGGCTGTCCTGTTGTTAATCCCGTGCTACATGGTTAACAGCCCCTCCGGATTGACAATTACCAACTAACTACTGTATTCAGTTTATGTTGCCTTATCAAATCAATACCTAAGTAGAAATAAAGTAATCCAAAAGCGTGTATGTGGAACAACAAACGAGTTTCAATTGTTTTGACTGTAGGAAAACCAACATTGTATTATTTTATAAGAATAACATGCAGCAGAGTATATCTGTCTGACAGACATGATTCTCAAGTTTGAAACTAATCTTGTTTGAGACATTCAAGCTGTGTGGTTCTCAGTGCAACCATATGAGGGTTGGCACTATCTAGCTCCTCATTTTTAGTGATGTCTGAATTGTGATGCATGTGTTCCTTGTTCAGTCAAATATGATTAAGATGGCCTATTAGCAACTAAATGGGCAGAGCCTCAACAAAAAGTTACAGAATATTTTTTATTCAGAGGTAAACCAGACAACATGGTTCTCACTTAATAAAGCTTCAACAGAAAATGCAGAGAAGTGGTAAGTTTTGTATTTAAATCCATTCTGACAGAAAATATAGAAAAGCATTTATTTTGGTTTTACAAGTGCTACATTATGAAGCTGTACACCTATTTAAAAGTTCATCTGATCAATAAAGCTTATAGTATAGACAAGCGTAACTGCAAAAAAAAATAGAAGCCTTTTTCCCCCATATTTTCATGGATAATTTGATTTGGAATGGCCCAATTAAAAAAAAAATCAAGTTAAGGCACTGTCTCATTGAGTTTAAAAGATGATTCACATTTTAAATGCATTTAAAATCATACCAAGATTCTACACTTTTTCCATTTACAAAATATGTGAACTTCCAAGAATAAGGAATGTAAATATGAAGTTGTGTCTAGACACTGGAGCACATTAAGTGCTAGAAACAGCCATAGCTCCTTTGACTTCAGATGGAACTTACGAGTTTATGCCACCTGTCAATCTGTCCTTTGGCAGTTAGCTACAAAACAAATTAAATTGAACGCATCCCTAAAAAGTCTTTTCCTGCGTAGTTCATAACATAAGCAAATCTCAATCAAGCTGTTGACGTACTCTGCCAAAAAAAAAAAAAGCATTCAACAAAAACCTCCATCTTTAAAGTTGCTCCTAGCTGTTGCAACAGGCTCTTGAATAGTCCAGGGTTGAAAGGCCTGTAAAATAAGCTAGGTATAATCCATTAAGTCATTAAAGGAGTTTGTTTTAATTTGGACTTTTCTTTTAAATATTAAAACCCAAATTTCATCCTTACTTGGAATGTATAAGGAAATTTAAATGCTAGAGCCCAGAGGCAACTTTGGATTCAGTAGCATGGCTCACCTTGCAGAGATTTAGCTGCATTATTAGCATACATGTTTGAAGAATGCTCCTTTTCTTTGGAAATGTTGCTTGCAAGTAAGTGGCACATGTTTGATGGATTCTTATTAACTACATGAAAAAGGCACATTGTATTTAAAACAAATATAGCATTTAATTTGCTGGAAGTGGTTCACGAATATTTACAGCCTAGTTTAACCTGCTACCAAGAACAGTTGAATAGTGCTGATAGTCTCAACAGCAATACTTACCATAGCTATTACACATTTTGTGAAACGTATGTCAGTATTACAGTATGCCAGAAGCAGCGTTTGCTTTGTGTCATGTTTGGTCACTCCGATCAAGTAACATCCACTGATTTTACACTAACAAGCACTTGTATTTTTATTAGAACAGTTTTGCAAGGGGCATGGGATAAGGTTTTCATCATTAATAAGCATTTTGAGCACTAATGCGTTGTCACATGCAGTAGTAGAGATAGGCTACACAGACACAATGATGATCCACTTAGATAAGCAAAATAAAAATAATGCTGTGAATGGCCCAGCTGGCTTAATTATAAGGGTGCTTTACATTTGCAATACAGCCACTATAAAACAGAGATGCTAGGATTCTTTTAAATAAAACCACTTCCACTTATACAGAAGGTTAACAGATCATAAGACTAGTGTTTACACAATAGATGTAATCAACTCCTACGTATCTACACAGCATACAGCTTAACATATCTACATTGAACACAGATGTGTACTTCACTGAATAACTAGGTCCACGATTGTAGATCAATAATAGAATTTTATTGCTTTATACATGTGGTGGTTTTCAAGGCACTGTGGCATGGACTAGAAAACCTGGAATGACTCGTGAAGGAACCTGTAATGACGCGTGGCCACCATGGAAAGTCATTCTAGAGCAGGCTGAGAACGCAGTTATGCTTCCGCACCAGGGTCTCAAACGCAGGAAACGACAGTTCATTGTAATTCACAGGAGAGCAAAAACATTGTTTGGGAGCAAGCTCTCACATGCCCATCCGGATGCTCTGGATGATCTGGAAGATAGCTGAGAGAGAGGAGACAAGGTAAGGGGGGCTGAGGCAGACAGGAGGAAGGGTCAGAGATGCAGGGTGGTGCCCTTTAACCAGCTGAGCAGGGTGGGGGGAAGGGTCATGCTAGCTAAACAGCACCGGGGAAGCTTCAGCCTTAGAAGAAGCCTCTCCCCTCCCCTCCCCTCCCCGGCTGACACTTGCGCCCAATATGGCTCTGAGAGGGACAGGGTAAGTGGCAGGGGTGGGGGGGCAGGGCCCAGAGAACAGGGCAGGCAGAAGCCGAGCCCACTCAGGCACGCGGCGCCAGACAGCTGCGCTGCTGCTCCTGGACGGGCCGGGCAGGAGCCTGACGGTTGCGCCTACGGTCCCCCCCACCCCCAACAGCGGCGGGGAACCTCCTGCGCCAGCGGCCGCCAGCGATAGGCCGAGGCCGGGCGGGGGCACCCCCACGGCTCCGGACGCTTACCGGAGCCGCACACCACGAAGATGAAAAGCGCCAGCAGCCAGGGCCCCACCGACGCCTTCTCCTCCGGCGCGTTGCGCTGCAGGCAGATCACAGGGTCAGCGCCGCGGGCCCCTCCCGGCCTGGACCCCCCCACCCACGCCCCCCGGCCGCGGCCCGCACCGAGGTCTTGGCGACATTTCCACGCTGCGTGATGTTCTTGCTGTGCTTCTCGTTCGCCATCCGGATCCGCTGCTTCGCCACCATCCTGCCGCGCCGGGACGGGGTCTGCGGGTTTCGGCCGCTCAGCACCTCCCGCGTCTCCCGAGCCGCGCGGCTGCCAGCGTAAGCACTAGCGCTGCGCGCCGCCCCCGGAAACGCGCCGCGCTGGGCGGAACGCACTCTCCACCCGGAAAGGGTTGCGATTCCGTTCGGGTGCCCTCCAATCCACGCGGCCGGGCCGGGAGCACTTCCGGGGCAGCGCTAGTTCGGGGGCGCGTTGGGGCAGGAAACTGCGTGCCTCTCCCCCGGTCACGTGACCGCCGAAGCTCACGTCACCTGCGAGGACCTGGGCGACGTGTAGTTTCCTAGTGCACCCGCAGATGACCCCTGACCCGGACGGAAATTGCGCTGCCCAAGATGGCGCCTCCCACGCCACTGCTGGCAGGTGAGGTCGTGAGGGTTGCCCAGAGCAGAGGGCGTGGTGGGGAGGGGAAGGGCTCGCGCCGTCCCGGGGCTGGGCTGGGGGCGCTGTCTCCCAGCCGCCAGCGCAGGCCTCGCGTGGGTGGCGGGACCGCCGCGTCCCGTTCTGACTCCTCGTCGTGCCCGGGGCGCCGCCCCCTTGCCTGGGACCGGCGGCATCGCCGTGAGTCAGCTCCGGGCCTGCCCGGCCGCGGCTCGCGCTCGGGGGCTGAAACCGACCCTGGTGGGCCCGCGGGGGCCTGGCGCGAGGCTGCGGTGAGGCTGAGCCCAGCGCTTGCGTCCCGTGGAAGTCGGAAGTCTGAAATCGCCGCGGGGAAAGAGAGTGCCCCGCCCCGTTCCCGGGCCCCGTGGAGGTGGAAACGTTGGAGGATTTTTCCCGTGTGTTAATTAGGTTTGAAAGTCAGGGCCACAGAACCTTGCACCGCCGGCCCTGGGTAGCGTGGAGGGCCATGGCCTGCTGAACCCCACAGGCCCCTGCGGGCCAGGTGATGTGGCAGATCCTGGCTGTGGGTTGAGCACCCCTGGTCTACGTCAAGCAACATCTCAAAACTGTAGGTGAGCTCTGGAGAGATGCAGAGAGCTGGTCATGAGCATGTCAGAGAATCCTGAGGTGATGATCAGGGCTCAGAAGAGCATCGTGCAAGACTGTCTGAAGGGATCTTATGACCTTAGTTCTCTTCCTAGTCATGACGATGACTTACAGTCATAAAACGATGGAAAATGAGGGTTGGATGAGACCTCAGGAGGTCACATCTAGTCCAACCCGCTGCTCAAAGCAGGGCCATCTTCTCCATACTTGAGTTTTCTTGCATGTTAAAGGCTGATGGAATTTGGTTAGTTTGCTGTGGCATAGACCATTTGTTTCTAAGCATCTGTCAAGTGCTTTGAAATCCTTAAATGGAAGAGACTGAGAGAAGAGTGTTGAAATAGCTAAAAATGAAGTAAAGGTACCATGATCATTGTCCATTCAGTACAGTATTTCCTGCCTTTCCCTCGGCCGGGCTATCCAGACTGCCTGGAAGGAGCAGGGCTTTGCTTTATCTTCTGTGCTTCCAACTTTTGGAAGCAAGTGCGTCTCTTCTCGCTTCTGGTTGCTTGTATGTATTGGACATGTTTTCAGCTATTTATGTTTTTCTGCCCTCTAGTCACTTCTGTCTTTCAGCCTGTTCACCATGTTGCAAACAAGTTGCTTAGAGAATAGTCCTGTAATAGGTAAACACCTATGTCCATTTGACATATTAGGCATAGAAAGTGTTTATTTTTTATGGCCTCTTTATTGAGAAGCTGCAGGGTGGGTGAGGTAAGGATACCCAGTAATTGAATTAATGAGGAGCAGAAAATCTTTTGTAGAGTATAAAGTGTAGGGACAGTTAGGGATTGCTATATCTGTCTACTACATGGTAAAATTAATATTTTTTAAGGTAGAAGGGACCCTGGGGATTTTCTGCTCTCATCTCCTGCATAACCCAGGGTGTAAGACTTCATGAAGTAATGCGTTTTGCAAATCCAGTATCTATTGTTGAGTATAGAGTATAACTTTTAGTCTTGATTTAAAGAATACCCCATGATGGAGACTCAGCCAAAACCCTAGGTAACCTGTCCCCTTTAAAGTAATCCAAATTGGTTTAACCTTGCCCTTCGCTATTGGATTTTGTTATATTTTTATATGTTTGATTGAAGAACCCTGTGTTATCACATTTCTGTTTACATCTATGGTTGTATAATGTAATGAAATTGCTCATTTACCTTCTCTTTTGAGAAATTGAGTACTTTCAGTGTTGAGTCTCTTGTGCGTAGGGACCTACCTAAATCAGTACAGAAGTGTGTGGTGCATCAGCTCCTTTAATCTTACTCTTTTTGCTGCATTCTTCCCTGCTGCTTATTGCTGATGGGCCAGGAAGCAAAAACTGTGGTTTTAATTATGCCGTGGTTTTTGCCTCGTGGCCAATCATCAGCCAGCAGTGGGTCTGCCAGGGCCCCTCTGTTAATCAGTGGTGGGAGGCAAAAACCACAGCATATTTAAAACTGTGGTTTTTGCCTCCTGGCCAATTGGGAGCAAGCAGCAGGGCTGCCTGGTTCCCTCAGCCAATCAATGTGGGGGGGAGGGGTAAAAAGAACAAGATTAAAGGAGCTGCTGCACAGCACACTTCAGGCATGATTTAGGTAGATCCCTACTTATTGGAAGGCACGTTTGAGTCCTATAATCACTTCCATGAAAGCTTGCCTAAGAACCTTTTAGATTCTTCAGCACTCTTCAAGTATTTCAGCACAGCTGGACAGGCTATTGCTGTTGTGGTCTCTCCATGCTTCTATTGTATTATTTTTTTAAGTCTGAGGACCACGTAGGTCATTCTGGCCACAGCACTGTACTGTGCTCACATTCAGCTGATTATCCACCATAACCCCCCAAGTCTGTTTCGGAGTTGCTGCTTCCCTGAAGAGTAGAGGCTGTGTTCTTTGTTCCAAAAAGTGTGTGTTTTGTTGTTTGTAAGTACATATTGCTTGCTTGCACTCAGTTTATGTGATCCAGGTTGCTCTGTAACAGTGATCTAATTTCTTCAATATTTACCAACATCTCAAGCTTTCCATTACCTGCCAGCGCTACCTGCTAACTTTGTAATGTTTTTTTCTTTTACATCATTCTTAAAATTAATAAATAGTATTGAGCTAAGAACCAATCCAAGAGGGATCCTCCTTGGAGCATACCTACCTGTCTGTCATTATAGTTTGAAACCTAGAAGTTAATTTTTTTTTTTTAAACACTAGTTTCTTAAATTTAGGGCTGTGTGAAACAGCACCATTCTGTTTCACCTTGAGTTTCGACGGTTCGATGGAACAGTGTTTTGTATTGAATTTCATTTAGAGTTGAAACAGCTGTTCTGTTCTGTCAAAACAGAAATGCTGTTTCCAGTTTGGCTGGGGATGGGGATTCAGCCCAGCTGGACTGATTTCCCATCCTCAGCCTGTGGTCAAAACGTTTCGACCAGCCTTGTTTTGTTTTGAGGCTATTTAGAGGGCCTTTGTTTCATTCCAGTTTTGCTGTTTTGATCTCAAAATTGGTCAAAACAGTGTCAGAACGAAACGGCAGGCAAAATTTCACACGGCCCTATTCTTAATTAACATGTCACATGGTCCCAAGTCAAATGCCTTACTGGGATCCTAAATATATTACATCTAGGCTGTTACTGTTTTCAACCAGACTTGTAAATCATAAAAATACCAAATTAATTTGGTAAGATCTACTTTCCATAATCACATACAAATGTTAACTATAATTACCCCTATTCATTCTGTATTAATCAAGTCCCATATCAGCTATTCCTTTATTTTGTTTGGGTTAAGCAGAGGACCTTGTATAGAGTCATCACATTTATCCTTTTAAAATAATAACCCAATATTATCCTTCTTCCTATTCCCTAGCAATTTGTAGCCTTATTAAATAACTACATTAGTAGTCCAGAAGTCCAGTAGTTTATCTTAATAAATGAACAGACACCAACAAAAAAGAAACTTACAGATTTCATAGATTTTAGGGTCGGAGGGGACCTATTAGATCATCGAGTCCAACCTTCTGCCCTGGGCAGGAAAGTGTGCTGGGGTCAGATGACCCCAGCCAGGTGTTTGGCCAGTCTCCTCTTAAATACTTTCAAGGAAGGAGACAGTACCATCTCCTTTGGAAGTGTATTCCATATTTTGGCAACCCTCACTGTAAATAATTTTTTCCTGCTGTCCAATTTAAATTTGCTCTCCTTCAGTTTGTGACCATTGTTTCTAGTTACCCCAATGAGCGCCCTGGTAAGCATCATATCCCCTATTTCCTGCTGTCCCTTTTGCTGCCAGCCCAAGCTCCATTTTCACTTTGGCTCTCCTCACTGCTTCCCTGCAAGCTTGAGCCAAGCAGGTTATACTCCTCCTTGGTGGCTGCCCCTTGCCTCCACAGCCTGTAGGCCTCCATTCCACACGGCCCGGCCAGGAGGCAGCACCAGCATGGGGAGAAAGGGATGTGGGGGCTGCAGATCAAGGCCCCTGCTTGTGAGGGAGGGAGTGGGGCTGGAGCAGGCGCTGCCCAGCTGGGGTCAAGCAAGATGCGGGACGGCACTTTGAGAGGCTTGTCTGGGAGGTGCAGGGATGTGGGGGTGGATCCCACTGCTCCCTACACCCCTGGGGGACCCACGGGGAGTATGTGGCTCCTGGATCTGTATGTGGGGTGAGGGTGGGCAGCTGCTATGGGGTGGGGCTGGGGGTGGCGCCAGGCTCTTCCCAGCAGGGAGGAGCTGGGTTGGGGCTGTGCTTGGAGTGGGCAGCAGTGGCAGTGCTGGAAATGGGGGCCACAGTGAATTCTGGGGTGGCCACAGGCCATCCCATAACTCCCCCTGACCCCCGTGCCAATGCCACACACCCCGAGCATAGCCCTGGTCCAGCATCCCTGCCAGGAGGAGCACACCCCCTGCCTGGCTGGAGCCACGCTCCCCGTCTTTCTGTCTGGTTGGGAAACATTGGTCTAGTTATAACGTAGCAAGAAACCCTTTTGTCTGCCCACCCCCCCCAGCCTGAAGCTTCTCCATATGGCAGAAGCCCCTCTTTTAGTATTTGCCCCCTTTTGGGGATGCTTTCTCTTTTCTATCTTTTCTTTCTTCCTCTCTCTTTTTCTTTTATTATATCATTATTATTTTTATATAGGGTGTATTTG